ATGGTAAAGGGTTTAAGTCAGGGTTGAGGATAGGGTTAGGGCAGGAGCCCATTACCTGGTTAGGGTTAGAGTTTGGGTTGCTTCGGGTCAGAGGGGTTTAGTGTTACAATCAGGGTTAGGGCTAGGGTAAAATTATGCCTAGAGTTAGCGGGGTTTAGTGTTAGAATTAGGGTTAAGGCTAGGATGAGGCTATGCTTAGGGTTGGCGTTAATATTTTTCTACAAGCATTCAATTGCAGGGTTTTTGGTATTGTGTTTGTAAATTTCAGTAACTACTTGAAAGTTTACTGAAAAACAAACGATAGGCCGACTAGTACACTTACAGGATAGATAGAGAAGGTTGGGGTTAGGGTTAGGGTTAGAGGGTCTGCGGTTGAGGTTAGGGCTAGGGTGAAGGTTTGGGGTTAGGGTTTGGGGTTAGGGTTTGGGGGTAGGGTTAGTGTTTAGGGTAAGGGTGTAAGCCTCTTCAAAAATATTTTTAAGAAGATTTTGTCACCTTTTTCACTTAAATAACCACCTGAAGAATTTTGACCAGTTAGATTATTTGAAGCGGTTGGATTAATTTTGATTGGGGTTTAATAACTTTTAGTAGTTGGATGATTATTTTTACCAGTTGAACCACTGTAATATGCTGGATCTTTTTAACTAATGTTACCATCCTTACCTGAATTATTTGAACCAATTTCACTGGTTACACATGCATTATCCAGTTAGACCATTTCAACTGGTTGGATTATTTAAACCAGTTTGTCCATTTTAGATATTGGCATCATTTTATCAAGTTGGATCATGTTAACCAGTCGCACCATTTTACTAAGTGAGATCGTTTCTTCCGATTGGACCATGTCACGTAATTAAAATCTTTTCACCGTTTAAACCATTTTATCTTGTTTTGGCTGGTTGGACCATGTTAACCAGTTGCATCATTTTGACTGGAGTGAAAAGTTCCGTTCTTAACCCGAGCCCTAACCCTAACCCGGGGTTAGGGTTAGGGTTAGGATAGCTCGCAGCTAGAGTTAGGGCTTGGGTAGGGTGGGATTATGATTAGGCTGAGGGTCACAATTTTTTCTGAAAACATCCAATTTTTTTTTGGTATTGTGTTTGGCTCTAAACTTTAACAACTACTTGAAAGTTTGCTTGAAATCAAAATATACCATTTTTTGCCAAAATAACTGCCAAAGTGCGCAATTCGGGCCTTTTTATCAATTTACACTTGGTTTAAGCTTGGTTTTTGTGTTTTCCCACAGACTCTTAAACTATTTTGCTGAGAACATTTTTTGCAGCGTTTTTAAAACTGAAATAAGCTTATTTTTGCAAAAAAAACAAACGTGTTTTTCAGTCGAATTTAGTGTTTTTGTCAACTTTAGCGAAAAATTTTGCAAAAATCGTACATTTCTGCCGTATTTTAGAGTTTTTAGACAGATTTCGTCGCGATCTTGTGAAAAACATGTAGTTTCAAGCTAGTTTTCAGTGTTTTGGCAGTTATCTTGTCAAAAAATGGGTAAGTCAGCGCAATTGTTTTTTGTTTGGTTTTTAAGGTTTTGTTTGCCCAAATTTTACTGAGAACACTGTGTTAGCTTGTCTCCATTGTTTTTTCGCAGATTCTATCGCTGTTTTGCTGAAAACATAACGTTTCAGCTTGTTTGCATCGTTTTTGGTCGTGAAATAAGCTAATTTTTGCAAAAGGAAAAAAACCTGTTTTTCAGCCCAAATTGACATAAAGGATACAGAAGAACATTTGCTTATTGCCTTTTTTTTTTTTGTCCTTACTCATGAAGTTGATTTTGGCATTTCAAACAAAAACTCTGCTAGAGCATTAATTGAATGACATATCATGCACTTACTTTGAAGCAAGAACACTTTTTTTTTAATTCAGAAAAATACTTTTTTATTTTTTTTTAAGGACTGCTGGATATAACCTGTACAACCAAGATGAATTTACATTCATTATTTGTCATAACTTACACTAAATTAGAAATTCAAGTATGAAATGAGGGTACTAGCCCTTTAATAGTGTTCAAAATTTCCATATGCAGGGGTACTTGTGGCTACTGGAGAAGAATCAGTCTTTAACCCTTCACCCCCCCCAAGGGAGATAATAAGTACAGATATCCTCTTCCCTAGGGGCAACTAGCTCAAAAGTGAGTGATCTCAAAGGCCCTCCAAAAACGTTTTCTACAGCAATAACTAAGCTCTACAGAAGCACACTATGCAGACAAAAGGTGTAAGAGAATCAATGAATTCTTTAATTCTTGGTCCCTCCCAGGCCAACCTATTGTACAAATCTCATGACATCTGTTCCAGTTTCATCAGTCAATTTTTCAAGCTTCAAGCTTTTCCTGCAATTATGTACTTGTTCTTGAAGCTGAAAACTAACAAGGTTCCTGTAAATTAAGTTTACATAACAACCTAACAATTTGTGAAAATCACACAAATCCCAAGCTATATCCAGAATTATGCTCTTAATAAAATAAACTTTTAAAGCAAATTGGGATTTTGCTCTAGTTCTTTTTATTTTTTTGTTACTTTTTAAATACATTTGTATAAATAATGCTCCCCTAACTCTCCCCAAAACTTTTAGAACAGATGCAAACTCTTAAGAATGATCAAGCTTTACCTTATTATTAAAAATTTTTTACATCTTAGACTACCAAGTTATCACAGAGGTTTTTTTCGGTACTTTGACCTGTTTAACACCTAAAAAGAAGAACACATACATAACACACACACAATCAGCCAGGTCAAAATGTGCTGCAGCCAACAATTTGGCCACCTACAATGAAATAGCTGCCAATTTCACACATGTCAGACTTCTATTCAGGACAAGATTTGGCCTCTGCTGCCTATTACTATTGCCAGCTTGCCTGCCACTCAAAATTTCAACTGAGATTGTACATACATACATGTGGGATTAGGTTACACGAGCGAACCTGCACTATTGAAAGAGGTCAATGAATTATAACTCAAAGAAACATTGATAAATAAAATAAATCAATAGAAATGACAAAAATTAAACTAACAGCAGACAGCACTTTTTTGGCCTTCGGGGCCTGATCAGTGCAGTGATCTTCAACTAAGTGCTTAATTTGGACATAAAACCAAAACTTGTTATGGTTAAATATTATTATTTTTCTTTCAATATTCCCATTCCAGCTGATGTATATTATTTGAATAACAAATCTTATTAGCATGTTAAAATCACCTGAGGACAAGGCATACACTTTGTGCCAAAATTGCTTTGCATCAAGTACGTTATCTAGTACATCATTACCATCTTCAGGTATTTCTAATTTACTCTTGAAAATCACACAAATCATAAGCTATATACAGCATACAATTGGCAGCAAATTATTAAAAAGGAATGCAGTAATCTTTAATAATAAGAGTAGCTAAATAACAAATAGCCTAGTCAAAATGTGCCGGTAACCAGGGATTTGGCTTTCCACACAGAACATTTGTTAGGCGTCTAGTCTGGACAAGGTTTGGTCTCTACCTTCTGTTACTATAGCCAGCTTGCCTACTTCTAAAAAACGTTTTGACTAAGCTGAAAAAAATGTTTGAGAGAAAAATGGCCACAACAAGCCCACTTACTGCAAAATAAGAAACATAAAAGTAACACTTCAAATTAATACAGAATATAAGCCTTGCAGGATTTGGCTCTCAATAAAATTAGTTAAAATAGCCGATCTTGAGTTTAACTACTCACTCAAAATGGGCTGACAGCCTGCAATTTGGCCACCTACAATGAAGTATCTTCCACTGACTTCACACCTTTCAGACTGCTTTTCAGGATGAGGTTTGGCCTCTGCTGCCTATAATTACAACAGCCAGCTTGACTACTACTAAAGAACATTTTGACTGGGCTGTGCAAGTGTTACTAGCATATAAAAAGCACCTTCAGGTAGATTACAGCAAAGCAGACTTTGTACCAAAACACTTTGCATTAAGTACATCATTACCCTCTACAGGTATTTCTAGTTTACATGTGAAAATCCCACAAATCACAAGGTATATTACATCATACATGTTGACAAAGCAATCAGGGGTACATTTTTCATAATAGGATGCAATGGTCTTCAGTATCAAGATTATTTGGTACCTAAATAGTAAAATGTTCGAGAGAAGAAATAATCATAAACATTTTTTCTTTCTCATCAGTATCGACTTCCAAAAGTAATGGATAATGACCACCTAAAACAAAGAAGAAATAAATCAAATTTGTGATTTCACAGGGCTTCAATACGAAACAACTATACATATCTTTTATTTCCTACCACTTACAAGTGGCAGGAATGGCTGAAATGGCCTTCACGTGAACACAACAGAATCCTATGCGTGTATAACCATGTAGAACTATTTATTCGGTATCGAAATTACATCCCAAATGTCATGATATTTGACTGAAACTCAGCTTACCCATCTTTCGTTTAGACTTCGAAACTTGCTGCTTTTTACCACCGTTTCAATGTTTTCTTGTTGTTCAAAAGGTGGTAGGGCCATTGCAGACCGTGATTTTTTTTTTACTTGAGAACCAGATCACAACACCCAAGCCTTTTCACGCTAAAATATTAAACTACTGAGATTTCCTTCGCCGCCGTAAGCCGCCATTTTATCTTTCCCTGAATACTAGTTCCCAAGCTTCGAGCCCGAAGGTCTCAGACATGCACTGAAATTATGATATTCGTTATTTCAGGGCCAATTTAGAAATAACGATAATCGTTATCTTGGTGTCGAGATCATGCTGATCACAACTGAACGCACATTTACCCCTTTCCTCCGCCATCTTGAATGTTGTAAGACAGTGGAACCGAGTCCTTCTCTTTATTTAACACGGTAAAGAGCATTGGTAAAGAGTGCCACGAAATTACTATATCCATAATCTTAGAACAGATAATGTCGGCGGTCAAATATCCGTGCATATTTCCGCACCAAATAGAGAACTTTGTTCATCTAGCCACCTCCTCTTTGGTGAATAGTTAACAACTGACTAAAAATTCATACTTTGCCAAGACACGTCGGTATATCCACCAAATGTGTAGTTACCGACTTGAATAATGGAAACAGTGGGTCCCTTTCCATCACATTTCGAATGGAATGTTGTTGAATCCCAATGATAACATCTAACGAACTCGAAGGTTTGGTGCCAATTTAGAAATAACGATAATCGTAATTTCGGTCTCGAGTTCATCTAGCCACCTCCTCTTTGGTGAATAGTTAACAACTGACTAAAAATTCATACTTTGCCAAGACACGTCGGTATATCCACCAAATGTGTAGTTACCGACTTGAATAATGGAAACAGTGGGTCCCTTTCCATCACATTTCGAATGGAATGTTGTTGAATCCCAGCCATCTGTCTCAGCGTGATAACATCTAACGAATCTACTCGAGGAAAGGTTAGTCAGGACTGATTCTAGGTAAGACGAAAGAGTGCCAATGTAGTATTTTGGTGAGTTGTTCAGAATGCTCGATGATGCGAGGCCACCTGTTGGTGAAAAACCACGTTATAATCTGACGGCACTAAATCTAAATAGTAATTATCCTCCCTGCAATGTAGTTATAGGGGGTGGACAAAAGTCCTTTCCCGCATCTTTTAACGCCTAGAAATTAAATTAAGCTGTACATATTTGAGTAGCCAAGACTTATAAGGCCGGTCGTTTACACGAGATCTAACCCAAACCACGGTTTTATGCAATCAGTGGGCGTAAGGCTTTCCCTATAAGAGGGTTGATTCTATTAAATGAATGTCCTTCCACTCTTAGCTCTCGGCCCTTTCAACACTGTTCACAAGTAAAAACGTTCCGATAAAAGGTTCAGCGAAGTTTAGGATTGATTAGGATGCGGTTCTGTTGAACAACGACTTTTTTTAAATTTTGATCTTAAGTGGGACGAATATGAAATATCGAACATTCTCTACGAACGCATTAATTTCAAACCCCTCCAAGCATCTCGTTGGTCATTCCCCTAATCTATGAATAACTTTGCTGCTATCTTTCTCATTTGACCGACGAGATTTAACTAATTTGCGGAAGGCTAAGTGAGAAATTGAACGAAAGCTTTAACAAAAAAGGTAAGAAGATCGAGGGTTCATGTCTTTGTGTTGTGCTTAATATATCATTTTGTACCAGAACAATTGGGAAATCGATGGTTCATGTTCACTTGAATTCACTGCTGTTCTAGGCGATACTTACGGTCACTTGTGCAAATATATGAACCCACTGTATTGCTGCAGTAGCTATTGGCCTCACAATAGTACAAGTCGTATTCACACTCATCAACATCTAGAAAGAGGTGAATTGTTTGTTAAAAACGCGGAAAATAATTAAAATAGGTATTGTTTTTGTACTTGTTCTTAAACCTTGTTGTACCCGTATATCGTATCACTCTTAGTTGCTCTTAATTGTATAACCGAGATAAAACCAAGGATATAAAAGGGAAAAAGTGTAACGTCCCGTTACCGTCAAATGCCACTTTTTTTGGTTTATAAATAAGGCGAAAAAAAAAATTATTGATGATATTATTGAAGATAATCATAAGATACCAAATATCCCATGGTATTGGACGAAGCACGTACCAGTCATGTTATGTCAATAATACTCAGTACAGATATCTCAGTTAGTATCTGCGCTATGATCATTCAAGGACGCGGGCCGTATTCCTCAGTAAGTATTGCTAATTTAAAAGGTATTTGAATTGGTATCTTTCCCCGCTTAGTTGCTTTTATTTTATAGCCGAGGTAAAACCGAATGTACGAAAAGGATGGAGAAGTGTGACGTCATGTTACAGTAGAAAGCGGAAACCCCGCCATTCACTAATTCTATCCCTTTTTTCAAATGCACGCATACTCAATGCATTCAAAGACGAGTCCATGCTCTCGGTTTTCACCGGGGGCGAAGTCTTAGTGCTACATGAGATATATCTTAAAAACAAATAACAACAGAAAACAGTTAAAATATGTTATGTCTTATCAAGTCTCTAAAGTTTGCCTGTTCAAGTATTAGACTATCTGAAATTTGACAAATTTAGTCACACAAAATTCTCGTAGTTCTAGATGAATAAATTTCTCCTTTTCCCTCGAAAAGTTCAGATGGCCACAAAGTTTCCTCTTCGAAATTATTGTTTTTCATTTCGTTGTGGTAGATAGGAGACTTTGAATAAATTAAGCTTTAGTTTAGCCAGTCTAGGTTTTAAAAAGATTTGAAATCAGAGGCTTATATAAACTATAAGTTACCTTCCGTTTTCATGTCACAGTAGGCGAATGTTGCCGTGTCCGTCCAGGGATTATAATACCAGTATTTGCCGCTAACTGTTTGCTCTCCTTCACTCAACTTGATTTCCCTACAGTTTTTAGCAGGAAGTTCAGGAATAGAGCCAAGAGCAGCTGTGTAGAAATGATGAAATAAAATAAGATAAAATGAAAGGAGGTAATTTTGCTAAAAAGTATGTGGTGAAGCTCATCCAAGAGAGATGGTTTTTAAACTTTACTTTCCATAAGGGAACTTGCATCGTAAGACGAGCAAGTAGACTACATTTTTATCGTGTATTTTTAGTTGTCCGGAGTAATTTTCATTGGTCTGTCAGGCAGGAATTTATTCAGCTGATGACACACTTTTTGATACTCATGGTTATTTTAATATTTTATCATTGAATATCCATGGTCGTCAGCTGATATTCCTTCGCTCTCCATTGCTCTTTTTTTCAATATGGGGGACAAACATCAGCGTCATATCAAGTTCAAGGGTTATGTCAGGGTGTGTTATTGTCCTGGGTTATTACTTTTTACTCAGGTTATAACTTTTTATTGAAAACTGGATCATTGAGGTAAATGCGTTTTCACTGGCTTAGCCATCAAGGGTTATGAACCTTTATACCATAATTTGTACATTGTGACATTGTGTTCATTTTCACAAAATAAATCTGGGAAGATTTATCTATACTTGGGATGTTTAGCTAATGAAACAGTTATTCCACTCACGCTTGTTGGATATGAAATAATTACAGACTGTACGGCTCTAACGGCGTCGCTGGCTATCTATGATCTCATATCCAACAAGCGTGAGTGGGATAATTGTTTATTATGAAAGGGAGGTTTTACCTTATAACCTGTATTAGTCGCGCCTCACAGGAGTCAACAATATGGTACTTGCGTGACACTAAAGTGTTTGAAATTACCTCTATTTTTTGATTTTTCATAATAGTATCGTTCAGAACTCGGCAAAAAGTCTGCAGGTCTGGCTTTCTTCGTACGATCATTCAACTCGCATGTATTTTTTGAAATGACGTAATTAAAGCTTTGACATCTGACGTCACCCTCACAAGCCTGGGAACACTCAAACGGGAGTGCCGTCTGTAGGGTTTTGAAGATGTTTCCACGCAGCATATAGCCATAAACAGAGTTATCGCCGCTACACGTCTGAGATGCTATTCTAGAAAATTGATCGGCCAGCCACAAGATCACGAACACTGTTTGCAACTTTGTGAAAACCTGCATCTTGGTATGTGTCACCTGGAAACAAAAAAATTACTCTCCAGCGAACAGCGACAGTTGATTTATAAAGAAGTTTAACTGAGGAAGGCTTTGATTATGAAATAAATTTGACAAAGAAGAAAGTTTGATAATAAAACAAAAAAACAAAACAAAACAAAATAAAAAACAGGTACGGCAGACTCAAACGATTTGCACCCTAAAATGGATTGTATGCATCGCATTCAATAAGTTCTGGCATTTTCTTATGCTTGTTCTGACAAGTTCTAAACATTGTTTTAAATGTCTACATAACTAGACAATCATAATGCTTACAGAAGAAAAAGTCAATATAACAAAACGGGAAACTTATGATACTTGCATTGTCAACTGTAGGTATACTAACAATAAAAAATACAGTACTATAGTATTGCTTACAATACAACATAACATTGAAACATTCTTTAGAAACTTACCCCCTTCAAAATTTTCACTGTCCGTTTAAGGGCAGGATTTAGTCGCTCAAGAATCAGTTGGTGTCAATTCTACCGTCTTCGAGAAGAGCCTTATCTAAAAATAAAATAAGGAGAATAAAAACGTTGTTTGTGGTTTGATTTATTCCCTGGTGAGTTCACCAGATCTCCTGCCAGAAGTTACCATAGTAATCTAACTACAAATGCAAATACGGCGAGAGGTTCTACGCGATTGGAGTACAACTTGAACGGCAATTGAAGTATCTTTTGAGAATACACCGCTCTTTCTCTCCGTTTACCGTCGTTATGACCCACGCAGGATTTTTGGAGAACACCAGAAATGTTTGTAACTCACGAGCCAAAGGCGAATGATTTATAAACTTCTCGGGTCAAAATTAACTTAAAAGAATTTTCAATTTTCTATGGATTGATGATTCAAATTCACCTTTTACTGAAAAGCATTATAGCGACGATTTCTGAAACTTGAATCCTTCAAGGTTGAGTCCTGAATGTAATCTCTACTCTCTATTCTATTCTCTCTGAATCTCTACAGGAGACTAACTTGGAGTGATTTGGAGGTGAATTTTCCTGGAAGTTATTCCAAAAAATAGATTAACAGCAAAAATACTAATGTCTTTTGCCAAAGCTGCGAGTTTATTGAAGTTAGGAATCCATCAATTTGCATAAGTTTGGATGACAGGGCTACTTCTGAGGAATTGTATTCCTGATCAGAAATTTTTTAAAAATTGGTTTGCTAATTTTATAATACAGATTTATTTTGAGTTCATCTGTCATGCATCGCATGGCCAGAGTTCTAAAGAACTATTTGGCTGTTCAGAATTATTTGGTTTTGGTTTCAAAATAAAGAATTCAAAAGCTTAAAGTCAATGTGTAAAGTTGGTCACAAATCGGACAGAGAAGAAAGAGCTATACTGCAACAGAATTATTTGGTTTTGGTTTCAAAATAAAGAATTCAAAAGCTTAAAGTCAATGTGCAATGTGTAAATGTTGTCACAAATAGCACAAAGAACTTAAAACGTTACTGCAGACAGAATTCTTTAGTTGTAGATTCAAAATGAAGTATTCAAAAGGTTGAAGACAGCCTTTAGGTGTAACGTGTAATTGTTGTCACAAATTCGACATAGAGGAAAGAGCTGTAATGTCAACGGAGTTCTCTAATTTTGCTTTCAAAATAAGGATTTTTAGAAGGATGAGATCAAACCTAAGGTGTAATGAATACATTTTGGTAGAGATGCGACGAAAAGGAAAAAGCTGTACGGTCAACAGAATTATTTAATTTGCTTTTAAGATAAAGTTTTTAAAAGGGTGAGGCCAAACTCGTGGTGTTATGTGTAAATTTTGGTTCAAAGTGGACAAAGAAGAAAGAGCTGTAATACAAACGCAATTCAAGTTTTGGTTTCATATATATATATATATATATATATATATATATATATATATATATATGTCACACATTGGACAAAGAATTTGTCCAAAAAGAGCTCTGATATATATATATATATATATATATCAAGATTTATTTATATATATATGTATATATAAAATGTAGGTTTCAAAAAGAAAAAAGAAAATTAGTTATATAAGACTTGAAGTTCTCAGACACTCATTATGAATATTTCAGGTGTCGGGAATGTTTTGGGTTCTTCGTGAATATTCTATGGCGTCACGTTTTCGTCTCAAAGAGACGAATGCGCTGGAAATTAATTTTCTCTGTGTATTGTATAAGTAAAAAACAACGTCAAACTTTCTTCAGTGCCAAGTTCATATCGCAATTCTGCTTTATTTGGACACCAAATGATGTTACACTTTATTAATGAAGAATGAATTCAAGCGATGGTTAACGTTAGAAACCAAGAAACAGTAAAAACTGCTGCTCTTAACGATTAACTATTAACACAAGGGATTGTATAATCGCTAGCATTTGCAAAACTGAAAGCGCTTAAAAATGTGCCATAAGATTTTAAAGCATCAAGAGACAGTTAAGTTTTCGATTTTAAAGAAAGACCCACTCAAAAAGAAAAAAAAAAAAGAAGTTAGTGTAGGTCTTGACGAGATGTGAGCGCCACTAAGCAAACACGATTTATTTGATGACTTGAAAGTAAACGATAAAGGAAGTTAATGTGGTTTGAAGCCTTCCAAGCGCCCGGTTGATAATATCTAGTACATCTACGAGTACTTTTTCCATCAACTTACCCCATACGACATGTTCTTCTCTCAACGATAAGTCTCTCTCCATCGCAGTTCTCGCTTGAGTGAAATGATGTTTATCCTGTATTGCTCTTAAAATTACATCACAATCAATAATTAAAGCAAGTCACAATGGTTTTCAATACTATCCTCCACGCAGGATCTCAACCTACGTCACTAAGACAAGGAGCAGACTAAATTAATTTACCTCTTATGTTTCGATGGAAATGTCACATACAGGATGTGATGTTTAGTCTTCTTTTCGCCACTGACAAAAAAACATTGCTTCCTAAACAATGTTATTGATAAAATACGTTAGAAATGAAGATTGTGAAAAAATGTTTGTACATAGAGAGCTCTTGTGTAGTTAAGACTCTTAAAAAATTAACAGGGGGCAAAATTAGTTGAAATTAAAAATATAAAAAAAAGCTTAACTTTACACTTTCACGTTTTTGTACAAAAATAAATTTCACTCAACTGATTCGTGCGTTTTATGAATTATCATGTGAAAATGTTCATGTGAAATTTATGACCCGCCTAAACATAATTATGCAGAGAACGATCTAATGAACTATCTTATTGACTACACGGATAATGTACTTGACGCCCACCCACAAACCGTCATTGTTCTGGGCGGAGATTTCAATCAGTTGGACATGGATGGATTACAACAATTGTCTGGCTGGTATGCACTGGTTGATTTCCCGACGCCTGGCGATTCACACTTGGATAACTGTTTAACGCACCGGCCCGATTTGTTTGCAAGGTGTTATCCTCTTTACGTGTCAACAAAATCGGATCATCGAGGTGTGATTTTGCCAGCAAGATCTAAACTTTGCCCTGTGTGTCGTAAAGTTCACACCCGGGACAGACATCTACATAGGAAACAGGATTTGTTCATGGCTTAGGTTGAAGAGGACTGGCCAGAGGTACTTGATACCAAGAATGTAAACGAGGCGGTGAACAAAGTGGAGGTAACCATACGGGGTCACTTGGATAGGTGTATGCCAGTAAGGGTAGTCACTATGTCATCACGTGACCCTGCCTGGATGACCCCTTTTGTTAAAGCCATGTTGAGGTCGAAATCGAGGGTGTCCGATGAAGCTCGGCTGAAAGAGTTGAATAAGAGGATTTTGGATGTGATCAGTGAGAACAGAAAGCGACATAAACAGGGTGTGATCGGCTCGAGGCAATAGTGGAAAGGCGTTCATCTGGTATCGCAGCGAAGGAATGCAGCCCTTATTACCTTAGATCGTGAGTCACTTAACCAGTTAAACGAGTACTTCGGCAAAATCTATGCAGTGACAATAACTACATTCAACCAGTTGATGTTCACATTGATCCAGATGTCAAGGCTCCAACAATCCCTGCGGGACTTGTCTGGAGCACTCTGTCTAATCTGAAGAAAACGGCAACCGGCCCGGACGAAATTCCTTTTTGGTTTTTTAAAAGAACACGCGGAACTACTAACTTCAGTTATCTCTTATGTGTGGAATCTTTCCCTGTCAACTCATTCCTGGCCTGAATCTTGGAAAAGAGCGAACATCAGGCCATTACATAAGGTTGACGTACCTAAGGAGAATGGTGATTTCCTGGGAATCAATGTAACACTGGTGATTGCTAGAGCTCTTGAAAGGGCTGTATACAACAAACATGTCAGACTCATCATGGAGGATCACCTGAGCAGAGGCCAATTCGCGTACAGAGTTGCGTATAAAAGCGATCTAAACACAGTGCAGAACTTTTTAAACATGTTACAAGCGGCGTTATATTTCAGTTCCATTGAATGTCAAGGATATCACGCATATGCAGGATAAGAAATTAGTGGAGCTAAGGCCCTAAGCCATCATTCGTTAAATAAAACTCTGCCGAAGCCTAAACCCCAGCAATATAATTTACGTGCAAGGTTTGCCTCCGCCCAAAGATTAACACAGAACGTTTCATGAACACATTTGTGAACAGACTAATTTTTGAACACAACCTGTTAAAATTACATTATTTAATTTTGGCCATAGTATATTATTGTAGCTATCATTACACAGTTTCTTGCTTATGTAACATAGGATATTTATCTTTTATCTCATGGTTTACTAAAGACTTCCAAGACTTCAAAGAAATGGCCTCTTAGGAAATTGTGCAACAGCGTGCGTTTTTGATCTTCTTAATAAAGTAAGTACTTTTGTTGCAACTAAGATGCAACCTCTGAAAATGTTAGCATAATATACACGTTAAACAAGGGAGATCACAGTCAAGTGTAACTTTCAATCCTAGATCAGTGTTAATCGCTTTCTGAACAACTATGTCCTCCGGGTTTTTGTATATCCCATGTTTTCTTTTACCTTAGTTTTCACTCCATTTCAAAGAGCTGAATTGTCTCTTACGCTTAAAAATATTTTTTCGAACTCCTTCAGGTGGGATCGCCAATTATTCAGTATAATTTAGGTTTATGACAGCGAGTGATAGCGCCGGTAGATGATTAAAATTGATGAGCAGCGGGTTGTTTTGCAAAAAATACAGAAGTTTTCAGCCTTGACGATGATTATTGTCAATGCAGTAAGACCAACTAACACGTTCTGTCTCTCGTCCACACTTGACTGCCGGCCATCTTTGAGACTTTCTTAACAGATTAATATCAATCATTAAAGCGAGTAAAAATATATTTATTTTCAAGGGCATAAAACATAATAGAACATGACTAGAACCATTCATTGATCCAAACCCACCATGTTTATGTTTCTAACCCGTTCTAATCACTAAAAACTGAGAATTGTGTCTATTTACCAACATATTTTCGTTGATCCTTTTTTGAAACGACCAGGGAAGACATTTTTACGAAAGAATCGTAAGAAATCACCGGCTTGGGTGAACAAATTTTAAAGCAAATACAAAATATGTTATTTGAGCTGACAAGGGCATTCTCATGTTTACGTAAGATTAACATACAACAAAAAATATGCAAAGTACACGCGACTTCTATCTTATGCACACATTCGGATCGGGTCAAGGGGCCTGTTCCGCGAAAGTTCCGTTAACTTAACGGACTCGAGACAATATTTTAAAATCAGAATTTTAAGATTGGTGCAGCATGTTCTGGCACTCTAACCAGCCCATTTTGTTTCTTTACCTACTATGTCTCATGTATAATTTTCACAACTAACATCTTGAATAAACATAGAACGGCTTTACAGGCCCGTTAGGTTACCGAAACCACCGAGAAACGGCCCGTAAACTACGCAGGAAGGGGTCGAAAACTTTTTAATACTTGGCCTCTTTAAAGCATCCACCAACGCTTTTACCATTCCGTCATGCAAGACTAAGGAGGGTTCATGCAGAAAAATTGCCCTGTTGTTGATTTTCTCATTTACTGCACGAACACTTCGATCCTCATACAAGGGTACTGAGAAAAGGTGACCGGATAAAATCGAATGTATCTTGCTTGGACTGGGTTATTCAGTGTGTGTTTTATAATGGTGTTCAAGTCTGAATTCGCTTCAAAGATCTGCAATGAAAAAAAAAAAAAAAAAAAGGAGAAACCACTTAATCATAAGGGGAACTTTATTCTCAGTTAAGCTGCTTCAAAGAGATTCCCCCCTTCCCTGATACAGTTTGTTTTCTAAATCTGTATTAAGATCTCATTGAATCCCTTAGCTGATGTCACTGGACGAAAAACCAAAATTCTGGTTACGTAAGTGTTGCCGAAACCTTTGTTTCCATTGCGGAAACGTAACGGCTAACAAGTGTTTCCATAGACAGACATATTTCAGTCGCTGTGGACACAGCAGAACCGGACCACCTTTCTACATGTTTTTGATGGAGAAGAGGACAAGATCTGTTATCACTTTGAGAAAACGGAAAAACTCAAAATTTTAGAGAAAACCGAGATTACCCTTTATCCTGAAGGTTATTTATTATTCTTACATCAATTTTAACTATTCCCAACCGGTAAATCCTCCCTCAGCCTGCGCATGCACACAGAAAATACCTGACCGTCACGTTTCATACCTTTTCGACGTTTTGCTCTTTATATGCAGTCCAACTGGTACCATCAGTAGAAAAGGAGAGCCTGTAGCTTTTTATAAACGATCCGTTTGCCTTTCCTTGCGTGGCGACTCCGCATACTGTGCGTCCTGCTCCAATATCAACCTGTATATAGTCATCGGTGATTCTAGAAGACTGCTGACACCAACCGCTGTCTCCATTGAGCCGTCCTTTGTGTGGATAATAGCTGAGATAATTGGAACTCGCAGTGATTTGGACGTCAGGTATGATGTTTGGATCTTCTACTCCTAAAGCCTCGCAAGATAGTACAGCTGCAAGAAATGTAAATTCGTAACCATTTTGATATTATCTCAACACGTGCGTTGCACTGGTTATCAGATCTTTAACAGATTCTTCGTACGCCACGGTATTTTCTTTTGCGGTTTCCTAATAATTGCTACTTTAAGTGTAACATCGGTTTTTCAAACAAATGCAGATACCTCTCACCTCTGATAGTGGTCCGCACACCAAGCTACGGACTTCGTTTTTCTGTTCGTATTTATGGTCCAAGCACGAAGAGGGTCATAAATCCGAGCAGAAAAAACAAGGTTCCGTACTACACCACTGACCGAGATATTTACCATGAGACAACGCGATAAATAGAGAATGATACATATCTACAAACAACCATGTCTTACTTTGTTTATCATGTAAACACGATGGCCCTTAAGTGTCAAGAAAAGTCAACTTAATTAATGAATTAAAATAAAAGGATCGACAATCCCCAAGTAAAAGTAGTAAACTGCGTTAGGGTCAAGGCTACAAATGAAAAAAATACGTTCAAACATTCCAAAACATAGAAAATCCTCATTGATTGACTTGGTTGTTACCGACAGAAGAAATCTTTCAAGTTCACGGCCAAAATCGGTCTGTGGCAAATTTATCGGTGGTCGGTTTTCGTTCTCAGCCGTGAGAAATACCAAAAGCCACTTAATACATAACTTTTTTCAATTAATCACTGTATCTAGGAAAGTTTGAAAGTTACTCTCTGTAAGCGATACGGATTTTTCAGTGTTTTAGCAGCCATAATCCAAAACAAAAAGAATTCTGACAAACTACCTTGGATTGAGAATGGTGAAGGCTTTAGCCCTCGTTCATTCAACCTGACCGAGTCGCGCGAAGGGCGAGTAACGTGTCAGCAGCCGATTGGCGATATCAAACACACGTGAAAAAATACGACATCTTTTCACGTGTGTTTTTACAACTTCTCCTGGGGCTGAAAATCCTTCTATAACACCGTAGTTTATGTGATAAGTAAGATAATTCCTATAACTTTGGGCCCAAATAGAGGGGGAAAATTTCAATTAAAAAAACTTGTTCAAGCTAAGGGTATCTACTGTGATTTACGGCCTGCTAAGTTTATCAACCAAGGCGTACGTACCAACCAAATTCACTTACTAACTGAGATTCATTGTCTTCCTTGCTCTTTTGTCTTTACGTTCTCTATTTTGTTTTACGTAAACTGTCTTGTGCACCATGGACGAGTCCTATTTTGTCTTCAATACTCAACACAAAGTGTTGATAACTGGGCACGCTGGCCAGCCAAGCCACTATACCGTTTACTCACCACCAATATGCCTACCAGAGTTTATTACATTTACTTTTGAAGGAAATTAAATGCACCAAAAGGACACGAAAACCAGTGAAAACTAAAGAGATTTGGGGAGTTTAAGGGTTAACACGGCGAAAGCTGAACGTAAAATACCTCGCCCTACTACCGACCTCAAATTACAAACTACGATCCTATAGCCTTCCTCGGACCTCGCACCCGCCTCCAATCCTTTAATACGTGCCGGAAAAATATTAATTTTTTCAAATCACGTCTACTACAAATTACATTTTGAGTCAAGTTTTGCATGGTGCTGTACGGTGTATGATCAGCTTTAATGCCCTTTCGGCTAAATTCGTCCAGGCCTGGAATCCACATTTATATCAATATAAAATTTTAAAGAATAAACTGACTGTACACCCTCTTACCAGTGCAAGTTCTCCCATCTGCAATAACTCCAGGTTTACAAGCACAAATATACGAGTCAGGGGTATTCTGGCAAATGGCATTCGTGTCACAGACAGGTAACGAGGCCTTGCATTCATCAGCATCTAACAAAAATGATTGTATATACTGTACAAATTAGAAATTAATTGACAATGGGCCCTGTGAATGTTTACGTAAAAATACCCACTCATACCTTCAAACCTCGCTTTCACGGTCTACACTCAAGATTCTGAATGCGACACTACTGAAATCAAAGGTTTTCCACATGAAAACAACCAGATGGAGTTAAAGTTCCCGACAAATATAATGCCAAGTAGGCTTGGACCGATATTTTTCAGTAAATAACATCATCGTGCATAATAGCTATTCTATGATATTCAGCATATTATATGATGAAATATCAAATACTTCCAGGAAATAGATAAATAAATAAATAAATAAATAGGCGGATAAATAATTCGTGAAATGAGCGAAAGAGAAAGTGACTAATTTGTAATTTAGGGTAATAAGTAAATTCAAGGGGAAACAAGGAATGAAAGATTGTGAATGATATTTTTCTCATTTGTTGTGGTTGTGAAAGGAACCAAACATTGTAGGATATTATAACTCGGCGTGGATCTTCTTTACCAAAACGATTAGTGCTTGATCAAGATTTTTTTACACTGATGTCAACAAATACTAGTAATTGAGTTTTGTTACCCGCTGTTTCCATATCGCAAGGAACAAGTACTGTCTTCCCCTCTATAATGGAATCAAGCCAGTAATTGCCACTGTTCGCTTTTTCCCCTCTTCGCTTGCTTTTATCTCTCGACATGTTTCTGCTGGAAATTCAGGAATGGAGCCAAGAGGAACTAAGGACGGAGAATAGTTTTATCAGGTTCAAATTACTTCAATAACCGCCAGTGCTAGGGCTGCTTCTTGTTGAAACTCACCTCTTTTCTTATTACTCCTGACATAAAATCTTTCAGAATTTGGCACAAAGTTCTCTGGTCTGGCCTCCTTAGTCCGGTTGTTTAGTTCACATAGCTCCTCTGAAATGACGTAGTTGAAGCTGTGACATCTGAAATCATTGTAACATGCTTGATGGCATTCAAATGCAATCAATGATCTCACTTTCCTGAAGGTGTGTCCTCGAAGCATCATACCAGAAATGGCATGCTCACCCTCCTTGCATTGTTGAGCGAAAACCTCGTACACGTAGCACAGTACAATAACAATGCAGAATCGCATCGACATTAGCTTTGGCTCGTCCTTTTCTGTAAGAGAAGTTTCATAGACTGACATTTGGGTGATTTGGGTGGGAGAACAAGCTATAATGCGAAAGGTTTTCAATCATGGTTGAAAATGCACCAGAAATTTAAGAGAAAAGGAAGAAAAATATAACAATCAAAGTGGGAATAGATATTGACACTTGAGATGCTGTTTGGACGACAGTTTTGTTCGTTGTAAAACCTGGTAACTTAAAGAACTTACTTGTTTATCGTACGATCCATGCTCTTAGCGTTTTTGAAATATTCATTATAACTTTTGAAGTGCAATATTTCTTTCCTTTAAAAAGTATTTCTGCACGCCATAGGAGAGCGACTATCTGGAAACTTTGATTTAAGTGACGGGATTATTTTAAACTTTTTTTTACGATTAACAGTTAAAATTTGTCAAGTTTTACGCCTAACGGTTTAATTGTATGGCCGCTGATACAATTTTGGGACTTTTTCACGATCATAAACAAAAAAAATTTAAATATGGCAACTTAGAAAATCATATAAGTTCTGCAAGCAATTTTAGAGTTTAAATGCTTCAGAATTCTATTTACATATTTTTTGTCTCTTGTAAAGGAGTTGTGTAAAGCTCATTAATCATTAAGCAGCAATCACAGTCTTCAAACACCTTCATGTCTATTCACGCTCAACCAAAAAGCAGCCGTTAGATTAGTGAAATGATTAAGAAGACTTGACTTGATAAACTTAGAGTTTTCGCAGTTCTAAGTCAAAAGTGATTTATAGAAATAAGTTATAGCGAAGGAAATACAAGACATGTTCATTAGCGCTTCTAATGGGTGATATTATCGTCCCAAATTAAACCCTTGTGATAACTGACTCAAATATCGATGGCTACGGCTTATTTTGATGTTGGGACAACATGCCGCTTATCAAGCTGTTAATGAAACAGTGTCAGTCTGTGGTCGCCGGGAAACAAGAACTAAATCAAAGTTGGAGCCGTGAACTATTTAAATTTGTCTTTTCCATCTTACTGAAAAGTTTCTCGTTTGAGAAGAACGAAGATATCGAAAAATAACAGACTTGAGACACCTTTGTCTTTTGCAAGAATTACAATGTACAGTTTCATTTATATGACACCTCTTCGAAAAAAATTTATATGTACAAAATAAAGTCTGCATCTCAGGGTAAATCGTTAATTTTTAATCCCGAAAGTCGCCGTTATCTTCCTCTGACGAGTCAGTAAGATCAGTAGTTTGGATTGAAAAAAAGTCGGTTTAAGGTTACTTCCCACCTTCGCGGGTGTCCTTCCGACTTCCGACGAAAAAATTCGTACCCGCGCTAGTTTCACTAAATCCAGCAAACTACAAATCAGAAGAAAGCCTAATTACTGCAGTGTGGAAGGAAGTGTTAGGAGCCGGTAAGGTGTTAAGCGACTGAGGGTTCTTCTGTTAAATTTATCAGTTATCGGATACGGCAACAAAAGCTAATATATTCTATAAATTCGTTCAAAGTGGTAGTATTCCCGCCAAATTAAATGCGAGATTTTAGCTCATAAAGGTTCGTAAACAATTGGCGCCACGCCTGGGAATTATCTCGCCTCCTGAAACCGCAAACTAATGGAACAACGGAAGAACGGAACCTCCACCTTTCCTTTCCGTAATGATACTCAAAGTCACGACTATATATGAAGGAAACTCGAAATTCTTTCAACTGATATATATATAGTGGGAATAATAGACATTGGAACAGAGCTAGAAAAAATATAATGCAATAAATAAAATATTTAGCTGTACTGTCTTAAATATTCAAAAGGCGTGAATTTGAACTTTGCATATCTTGTATCCACCTCGTTTCCTATCCAAGCAATGCGATACCCTCTTTAGTAGAGACTTTCAATAATTTTGTTCAGGAGAGAAATCAACAGCAAGATAATTATTATATTGGTATAATCTAACCGACAGAAAAACACTACAATCCTACAAACTCAACTACTTCATTAAATAACGAGTGGTATTCGACTCCTAAAGGCAGTACAGTACTTATGCTCGATAAACTGACTTCAGCCCATCTCATATCTTAACACACCACTGAGCGAAACTCACAGTTTTCTTCAACGTTTCTTTTCGGCAACGATCTTCCAATGCAGCTTTCTCACACGGTATAGCTTTCTTAACAGTCGGCCACTCCCGAAAACAACAGCTACAAAACTGAGAAGCTTACAAAAGAATTAGTAGTATTACGCATACTAATAACTGCGTGACTTGATTAAATATTCTAGAAAGTTCTGTGGTACGCATGTCAGCATGACTGAGCAGTCTGGAGACTTTTAGAAGCCTATATTTACAACAATCAATTACTTATAACACTGTTTAGTTCAGATTCTAACTTGTGCTAAATTTCAATGGGAAACACAACGTCTTGTTTAATTATTCAATTCTAATTTCTCCTGTATTTGAATAGTTTTCACTTTACGTTTTAGAGTTATCTTCAATTTCATTTTAAAGCTGTGCCATTGTCGAGGTTTTGAACACAGAAAACGGTTAGCATCACAAAATAGGTGGAACTCTGGGAGAAAGAATGGTTAATCAGCAAGTCCCAAACAGATTCTTTGGTCAGATTCTCTGAGCGATATAAATCCATATTCTGTTGATCAATGTAGGAAAATAAAACTTTAAGAGCCCCTTCTCAGCATACTTGATATACTGAATCCCTGTGACTTTGAAGAATATCAATAAGGTCAAGTTCAGTTCTTTAAAATACCTCACAAAGCACAGCGGGTCAGCAATAAGTTGGAGCCTTTGATAATTACATCTACAAAACAGTATTGTTTACCCAAATAACGTTTCGTCTAAATTATTAATATGCCACTGACACAGATCCATGTCCAACTAGCAGGTTTCAAACGCTAAGGTGGGAGAATTAAATAATATAAGTCCATCTCGATCATCGATACGCAAGTCGACCAAGTTACCGAGATGTTTGCAACGATACAACTTTCCACTTTCGTGACTTGGAGATGAGTCAAAATATTGAGATATTCATTCAAATTTACCATCTTTTTTATTCTGTTTACACCTTCCATGCAGTTTGTTTATTTATACTTATCATTTTAATGATACTCTTGACAAAATGCGGGTACCATCCTTCTCCCACGAAAAAATTTTGGAAGGAACTGGAGTGCTCGTAAATTTAGAGTTCCTAGTTGTCAGTAGAAAACGGCGGGGAAATAAAACGGTGACATGATGCAAGTAAGGGAAGCGGGGTCTAGAGTAAGAGTGCGTTAAAAAGTGTTAACAGCTTATTATTTCGTGGAAAGAATGAACCATCAACAAATTGTTCTTAAATTCACTAATCTGTCCTGCCTTAAAAGGTAACTGACGGCTAAAAGGTCACTTTTTCGGAATACCGTCTAAATGCCTTAAGTAACACATTGAATAGATACAAGGTGCTTCGAATACCTCTTTGTGCCTTTATTCGTCGGGAAACTGTCCTAAATGCAGCTTGGTGAGTCATCCGCCGTAAAAGCTTCGATTTTGATTATGTGACCTTATAGGTCACACGTGTGAATATTAAGCAAAGCAAATAGGGCGGATAGTAGTTCGAGTGAGAGCAGTGCTATTCCGGGGTCTGATTATTTGGATTTTGATGCCTAGATGGAAGGTGAACATAATGAAAGGGTTTATGAACCTGTTGGTGAAGTCAGGCCCTGACAAATTGAACCGCCAGGGAGAACCTAAAATAGAGCGCTAGAGTCAGAAGAGGAGTCGCGGCCGTCTCATTTAAGAAAGCGAGAATGGCGAGTGCATTTGCGCTTGTTACAAAAGTATCTGAAAATCAGTCGGTTATTAAATTTAGGAGCGATCAAATAAAGAAAACCAAATATGCAGACTCTTGAATACCATGGGAACGAAGTGTTTTTATGCTACACGCACGCACCTCCCGAAGCCAAGGTTTCACTGACTGAAAATATAAACATACACGCTTTTGGAGGTGAATTAAATGGATTGTACACGTTTCCACGGGATTGAACCGGTTTTAAGTTTTCCTGTGCTGAATTTGGCGAACGATTAAAGATTTGTCGGCTTTTACTTAAAAACAAGATGCAGCAAAAGAATAGCATTCGCACATGTAGAATTGAACATAATTTATTGTTTACTTGTGGTCTTTGCACCTTGTTTATGACCTAGAGTTTGTGATAGTTACAGAGCTGATAACTGTTCCTCTAAGTGAAACCAATCATACAAGTTGTGCTCTCTATTTCTTCTATTCAAAATCGTGTTTCTGTTATTAGTCACTTCCATTGGAAGTTAATTAAACTTAGGCACACGAATGTGCTATATATGCGGATCAATGTTGGTTGTATTCATCAACCTGGAGAACTCTCAGCTAGAGACGAAACGCGTTGAAAGAAATAAACAAGAAGTTACAACAGCAAGAAGTCTTCCTCTGTGATGAACACTAGTCTCCGTTAAAAAGAATTAAAAGAAGGATAAATCTTGTACATTTCCGGAACGTGAAAGAAGAGTTTCATTCACGAAACCAGATGACGAACTCTCATAATACGCAACAATACTTCGCGCGTAGTCACGGTCAC